TATATATATATATATATATATATATGTATATATGTATCTTCTTTTCATCTTCTTTAGTACCAAGTATACCACATAAATTATCAATAGTTGTATATTTTTCTTTACTCTTTATCTTTTTTATAAAACCTCTTTAGGAATAAAATAAGAAAATATTTCTGCTTATACAAATAAATATATATTTAAAAATAATTTCTATTATTTTTTAACATGAATCACTGGCAACCTAATATCATTCTATAGCAAGAATTCATGGGATCTTAATTTCCTTTATTTAATATGTGGGATTCTGATTTTCCTCTTTGACATTAATTAGTGGATTCCAACAATAAGATGATATGTAGCATATGTATGCCTTCCAACACTCCCCTCAAGCAGTGAATAGATATCATTGATTAACACATTACTAATAATCTCCTAAAACTATACGTTGTGGAGTCCCATTGTAAAGACATAACATAAGATCCCTTGAAGACACATTGTGCAAATTAAAGTATTTTTTATAAGATCTATATCTCAACTTTAGAATCATTCTATCATGTTGCACAAAGATTTTGTGTGATATTTGTTGCTAATTTGTTATCATAACAGTTTCATAGGTCAATCCCACTCAATTTTCAGATTTTAAATGAGAATTTTCAATCATGGTAACTCTAATTTCTCTTGTGTGATTGCTCAAAATTAAGATTTTGCTAAAACTTGCCACTGATTTTTGTTTGTTTTTCCAAGTAATAAAATTTCCTCCAGCAAAGGTGCGAGATCTAGAGTTGAACCATATGTGATATGTCTACAAATTAACCTGCATAATCAACTTCTATGACGACTTCAAGTTCCAACTCTGCGTTTCTTCTAAATAAAATTCCAATTTTATGATAATTTTTCGAAAGTAATGAAGCATTTGGTAGACAGCTTCTAAGTGAACCTCCCTTAGATCCTGCATGAATCTACTTACCGTGCTCTTAGCATAAATTATATCAAGCCTCGTCTATCCAAGATAAATTAAGTTTCCCCACTAATCTTTGGTGCATTTCCATGATCATCAAAGGGTCTTATTTTGCTTCTAATTTAATTTTTAGTTAAATTGGTGTATAAGCAAGTTTACCAGCCATCTTTTTAGTTTCCTCTAGTAGATTAGTGTCATACTCTTGTTGTGAAATGAAGATCCATTGATGTAAGTGAGCAATATCAATCCATAAGAAATAGTTTAATTTTTCTAGCAATTTTACTTCAAATACTGATATCAAACACCACATCAAAGACTCATTTGCTTGCTCATTATTTCTTGTTACAATTATATTATCAACAAATCTCAATAAGATTATGACTCTCCCTATATATGAGAGATTAATAAACAAGGTCTGATCTCACAAACTTTTTATAAAATGTGATTATCATTACTTTAGCAAATCTAGAAAATCAAGCTCTAGGTGATTGTTTGAGACAATGGAATGTTTTTTTTTTTTAATTTGCATACCATGTTGGTTCCCAGAACTCCCCAAAACTAAAGTGAATATCCATATAGTTTCCTCTATATCACAACACAAAGGAATGCAAATTGAATGCCAAACCGTTGCAAATCCTACTAAAAGTTAACAGTGAATAGAAATGACTGTTATTATTCATCTTTACAACTATAGCAAATGTCTCTTGGTAACCTACTACATACGTTTGTGAAGCTCAATCTTCATCTAAACATTTGACTAGAGCAACTTATGTATAATGGCATTTACAAACAAAGCAATCTTAGTTTAAAATATCATTAAATGTTGATGAGGAACGTCAATATAATATGATGAAGTCAAAAAAGCCAACGAATTATGAGAAGCAAGAAAACATGAACAAAAAGGAAGGTTGTATCGGTAAGCTCAACAAAATCAACTAAATTTGAGGGAGAAATAATGATTGTTTTTACATTATACTATGGTTCATTCAATATGTTTGAATTGCAAGATACAGAGAGGGAATGCTAGATCCCCATTCCCTGACTCTGCTCTAAAGCAATCCCAACTTTTTCCTTACTCTAAAGTCTAAATTGTTGTCGTGACTGACAATTTATTTCCTTATCACAATCAAATGATAGTTGCCCGCCACGGACAATCAATAGTTCTCCACTTTTATTTTATGATTTTCTTATTTACCTTTCCCTCCTTTTAGTTGCTCATTTATAAGAATGGGACCCTCCTCTCCATTAATAACCTTAGCAAAATTATAGTCATTGTGGTCTCACCAACCCTTTGTCAACTTCACTCTAATATTTCCCATCATGCTCCTTTCCAAAAGATAGTAGCAGTTGCCCCACTAGATTTCCACACCTTGGGATAGCACTCATGTATACATTTCCCTCAAACTTTTAGGGCTACAATCATGATGTTATCATTTTGCTAACACATCAACCTTGCACTACTCATCAATTTTAAAAGATGAGACACATGTCAAACTTATATTCATTTTGCCTTCTTGCATTCAATTCTGATTTTCCTTTCCCAACACTGACTTATTACTTCTTAGAAAAGTCTATTCAGATTTTCTAGCAAAGCCTCGGCACAACCACACTGCTATTGATTTGGCAAATGACATTCATTATGTTGAATATAAATGAACATAGATCTAGACCATTTCTTGATAAGTATCTCCCATGCCTTTTTAAATCCCACCCTTGCAATGAATTTTTTTATTTCAGATGACTTCTTTGTTTATATAAACACCACGTTGTTGGCAACTATCCTTAAATCCCCACTTATTGCCTTCCAATAAGCTCTTTCTCTCATCCCCTTGTCGTTTACCCTTAAATTTTGCATCCCTCTAAATATGGCCTCTAAACATTCTCATCATGCCCTACTCCATTCTCATGCAATAAATATTCATACTCTCATATTCTCATACATATGCAAGCACCTAAGCCTCAAGTTTTGCCTCTCCATCCAACCCTTACCCTCTTCTTTCTCTCCCTAATCTCAACATATTTCCTCTCCTTGGCAGCAAAGTTGACACTTTCAACTTACATTAGACATGCTAACCCACTAGCATAGCCTGCCAGTGACTTACATAATATAAATTTCCACAAATGAGCATCATCTTACAAAATTACCCTCTTGCCTCCCCTTGCACATCCCTATCCCCTACCTCCTATCCCCTCTCTCAGATTCCTTCCCTAAACAATATCATAACTAGTTGGAACCTATTTGCCACACCAATGTATGGGACAACAAGATATAGACGGAAATATATATTTTATATTCGAGCTTTATCCCATGCATATAAATAATAAAAAAGTTTCATTTCATTCAATTTGATTTCTCCATATCACAAGTTGAGTTGCAATCCTTTCATGATTTATGGATACCAAGGAAATATCAAAAGATTATTCAAATTTGTGCACCCAGATCAAAGTGAAGGCTTAGCTTCATTTTAAGCTCACTTCACACCCAACTCCTTCACCCTTTCTTCATCCTGTTGTAGGTTCAGTGTTTAGAATTATTTCATAGAGGAATAAATAAAGTATTCACATGATGTTCAAGAAAGACTAAACAAGTGAAGAGAAGGGATGCCACATGGGAGCTGATGTGAAACATTATAGCTCAGTTTGCAAAAACAATTAGAATGAAAAAGAGTGGGCCACCATGTTGAAGGGGGGATAGAGGTAGAGAGAACATATGGTTGTAAAGAAGAGACGAATAAGGCAATGGATAACGAGAACTTTCACATCAATTATAGAAGAAAACAATTAAATCTTGTTTATGAATATTTAGTTTATTATACCCTGGCATCCAAAGAAATAAAAAAATTTTGGCCAAGGTACGAAAAATCTATATATTATAGGGGAATGATAAAAAAACCTTTAATAATCAGTAGTAGATTGAAATAAGTACTATCATGGAGAAATAACTAGAACGGAAAGGATTATCTTTGGGAAGTATTGGTTATGGGAAAAATGCTTGTATCATTATTTTATATCCTCTTAATTGATGATATTATCCTCTTTATTATCTTCCTTTTGTAATCTTTCAATATATCTATGTAAAAGCACCAACATTCAATCAATAATACACAAGAATTCTCACGTCCACATCTGCTTCCCCTTCTCATTCTCATCCATTTATTCTCCTAATTAACCTAGTAGCCTTGTCGCTTCCCTTGTTATAACATTTTCCACTCCTACGCTTCACTTGCCTACTTGCCACACATATATACACATTGTGATCTCGTGCTCACTTGTTTACAAGCTACACTTACCCAAAGGTCCATAAGCTAGCCCATGTCAACTACACTCAATTATGTATCACTCTCACCGTACCGCCCATACAATGCACGCGCTCATGAGCTCATTGTGATTGCACCATGCACTTTCTTGTGAGAACAATCACAACATTCCACTCATTGTCAATAGCCCAAACTCTTAGAGCTTCGCAACCTCCTGACTCACAATTTTTATTATCTAAATTTTCTCTTGAATCATCTTCTCATTTCTCAAACATATATGTGGCTTTTCATTCTTATTTCAATATATCAAAACCCTCCATCATTGATATCAATATCAAATTCATTATTACCAATTATCTACTATGATTGATGGTCTTTCGCTTCCAGAGCAATTCCTATAACAAACTCCATCTTGATGCCTCTCCACCATATAGCATTTTCACCAAAACGCATTCCAAGTTCTCAAAATAACAAACACCTAACTATGTCGTTCTTACATGGCTGTTAAACAATCTTAATGTTATACCAACTCAATAGTCATGCTTCAAAACCTTGTCAAAGAAAGGTGAAATTTTCTTTGATTAACATACCTCGAAGAAAGTAATATCTCTAGTGTAGCATTTCTACTTTGAGAATTTTTTTTTTTCTTTAGCAAACCGATATGTAAATTTAGGAGTATTAAAGTAGTTTGAGATGAAAATAAACAAGTTACACTTCAATATCACCCCTTCAATATTAATCTCAATTGTTGACAAGCTTTAGCTTTCCTATTATCGCAATTGCTACATCTCAGCGTAGAACTCTCAACTCCCAACCACCTACTTCTTACCAATAAATCTTGAAGACAAAAAAGATGTTAGATGAGTGGAGAATGAGTGGGTTGATCCCTACTTTTAAAATAAAGGAGATATATAATATTGTGTGAATTATAGATTAATTAAGTTAATGTGTCATATTTTAAAACTATGGGAGAGTTATTGAGCATAGGTGACGACCTGATACTAATGTTTCTAAAAATCAATTTGCATTCATGCTGGGTAGGTCTACTACAGAAGTTATACTTTTATTGAGAAGTTTGATAGAGAAGTATAGAGAGAATAAGGAGATTTTATAGATGATATTTAATGATTTAGAGAAACCATATGATAAAGTTCCCAGAGAAGTTCCATGGAGAGTTTTAGAAAAGAAATGGGTTAATAATGTTTATATTCAAGTCATTATGGATATGTATGCATGAATTGTTACATGTGCTCAACAAAAGATGGTTTGACCAAGTATTTTCCTATTTTAGTTTGATTACATCAAAGATCAGCCTTAAGCACATATCTTTTTGCTTTAGTCATGGATGTTTTTACCTGACAATTGTCAGAGGATGTACCCTATTGTATGCTTTTTGCTGATAATATTATTCTTATTGATAAGACTAGAGGAGTCAAAGATAAACTTGAATTAAAAATATAAGTGTATATTCAATTAAATGCATTCACTGATAAGAAAGGAGAACTTCACGGGCTTGTTTCACGGGCTCTGCAAATATTAAAACTATCTATCATTACAAAACTGAGCAATAAGACAACATTAAAAAAACCTATAGTTCAAATAGTGAAGGTTTTAAATATTCATAAGTTGCGGGACGATAACAAAAAATGATCTAGAACCTTAAAAACAACTAATTCGATCATAAGGCGAGCTACAAATCTGCACATGGTTGCAATTTAGGCCAAAATGGATAAAGATAAGAACTAAAGAATTACCCTTGACGAGTTTGATAACTAGCTGCTTCTTGGAAGAGGGTTGAGGAGGAGTAGCCTTCTTCCTGGAGAGATTGGAGGCCACACCAGTGGTAGCAATCCCCGCCGCAGATGCACCAACTCCCTTTAGTTCTTCCTGGTCAACGAACATGTTATCTTCCTCATCAACCGCCACCGCCGCCTGCGCATCAAAGCGTTCGGTGTGTGCGTGGAGGCCGTTCTTCTCTCTCTCGGATACGGACCCTGCCTGCTGGGATTTGGCCTTTTTCATAGACGAAGAGGTTGCCACTGTGGGGGATAAAGGACTTCCGAGGACTCCGCCGGAGCTGGTGGTGCTGCTGCCACAGGTGTTCGAGAATGGCCTCTTTGCGTGAGTCATCAATCAATTTCCGAGGGGCATCGCGTGGAGAGAGGTGAGAGCCGCGATTGGGTAGGAAGCTAGGGGGGCAGAGGCGGCGGAGGCGGCCGAGGCAGAGATCGAGGGTTAAGGTGCAGGAGCAAGGGGGGAGAGAGAGGTGGGCCGAGTAGAGATGTGAGATAAATCGATGATGATGAGACGCCCTTTTATTTTTATTTTCTTACCTTTTTGTATTTTGTTTCCTTTGGTGCCTCGTTTTTTTATTTTTTATTTTTTTTTATTTTTCTCGTTGGCCCGTGGAATAAAATTTCAGTCATTTCACCTCTGTATATAGACCGGACAAGGCCGAGCCGGTGAGCCGGTGCGGGCCAGATATGACCGGCCATGCTAATGTTTATCACCTACTTCGGTCCTTCCGACCTCCACTACCATAATACAATCTTTCTAACCCCTGTCTCCTCCCGACTTCAATCTTTCCGACCTCCACCGCTCGTCGGCTATAGTCCCACCAACTAAACGAACGTATTAATATTGATTCTTCCAATTTCTATTATGTAATGCATTATATATGCTATCATATATATCAAGACAATACCATTCCTACAATAAAGGGCATCATTTGTAATCAACTCCAAATAATAGTGGATTCATTTAAACTAAGCCAGGCCCCATAGTTTTTCCCCTTAGTTGTTGAGATAGTTGTTATTTAGTTTTATATGTTTGATATTTTTATAACTTTTATGTTTTTTATGATTCAAAAAATTATTATTTTGATTATTATTTTCTCCTAACATATTTTTGGAATAATTATTATGCTCTTGTGTGTACTAATATTTCAGGGAAATCAAACTCCGGATTGTTGAAGACTTCAAATCAAGATCAGTTTATAGTGTATTGTAAATTGAATTATGTATTTTTTCATTTTATTGAGTATGAGAGAGTGTGATTGTAATTGAGCAACTGAGCACACACACTAACACACACACCGGACGAGAGTCTTAAAATTCATATTTTTAAACTGATCATAAAGTACGAAACTAGTTTGTACAGGACGATCTGGTCAATTATTTTCCCCAATGAGCAATTGAGCGAATAGAAATGTGAAAAAATGGACAGATTGTACGGATGATATTTCTCGTTCGTATCAGTATCATTCCCTCTGGTTCGTCCTCAAATGAAGTTCGTACGGACGATATTTGTTATTGTACCGGGACAATGGGCTCTGGTTCGTCCTCGAACAAAGTTCATACTAACGATATTTTTTTATAGTACCGGGATGATGGGCTCTGGTTCGTCCTATAATGAAGATCGTATGGACGATATTTTTTTATTGTACCAGGGAGAAGAGCTCTGGTTTATTTGTACTCATTTCGTCCTAACGATTCGTACATACTAACTTTTAAATTTTTATGTTCGTACCGGACGAACACAGTTCGTATCGGACGATGATCGGGTACGAAATGCTTTTGTATCGATTCACAATGAGTTCATATGCAATAGTATTTATATTGTTCGTATGTATGAAATACGATCGTACTGAACAATCGTAGACAGACAAATTTGAAAAATTCAATTTTCTGTACGATTTTTCGTGTCTTTGTATAAAAGGTCCACGAAAAACTGTCATTTAATTTTTATCGTCTGGTCTTCATGTTTTGTAAAGGGAAATTGAAGGAGAGAGTGTTTGAGAGAGATTTCTTCCTAGTGGAGCGTGAAAAATTCACAAGGTTACTCAAGGGTAAGGATCTATGTGTTCCTTTTGTGTTTCTTCACTATTTCTCTTATCTTTATAGATTGCTCGTGTGAAGTTCTTTAAAGAATATCTGGTTCTTTTTTTGTACATTTATAAATTGATTGGGATATTATAATTGCTTGTGATTTTTATTAGGATAACCCTGCAGGAGTCCGAATCTAGATTTTCCTTTTCAAAATGTAATGTAATTTGATTCAATTGAGTTGTGAAAGCCATAAAAAATATATTATTTTAAACACTTGGTACCCAAAGAGAATAAAAAAGGCTCATTTTCAGGGATTTTCTTAATCATTTGGGTACCTTTCTGGAGGATGAACCAGACGGAGCCCAAAGGGGACAATCCAAAAGGAGATGATCCGGAGAATGATGATGCACTCGAAGACGGAGACTTGAATGCCTGGATTTTAAGATTTGCGTCATTTATTAGGTTTAAAATATAGGTTGTTGTCGGTGGGGCCTGATCACCATTACTTTTTTACAAACCCTATGTTGTATTTATGTGACACTTGCCACAGACTTTGGACTTTACTTTACTGTGTTTTTTTGGATTTATATTGATGTGTTTACATTATTTGTGCATTAGAAATTGCCTATTTTTCTTATGTTTCTTTTCTTGCATGTGCTTGGCCTGATTTATGCTAGGCTCTCTAGGATGAAAAAATATATTTTATACTTATAATTAAAAATTAACAACTTAAGGTTTAAGTAATTTAGAAGCCTAACGACATAGGAAATAGTCGGAGTCGTCCGAGGTTGCATGCATACTATTGTATCTCTCTTTCTCCTTGCTATAAGATACCTTCTCGCCTGCGGGTAGAGTTCGAATAATCTGGCCTATGAGGATGAAGTGCCGGACCTGGGGAGGCCTAGCCTTTTCTAATTTTTTTTTATAAGCCTATTTTTAAAATCTCAAGTATTTTGATTTAGCCTTTTTAACCAGTATACATTGTATTAGAAACTCAATAAATAAAATTTTAATTTCATTAGCTCTAGCAACATTCACCCAACATAAGTCTAGGGTCAATTAAAAAAATCTCTATACATCAGTCCAACTTCCAAAATACTCAAACTACCCACTCATTTTTCATAAAGACTGGCCTACGTGAATTTGAAGCGCTTAGGTGGTTAGCTGGCATCCCTTGTTAGGCAGGGTATAAGCCCATGTGCATTAGTTAGGATACAAGTGTTAGTGTTGGGTAGAACACTAAATCCACCTTACCTATGATTCAAAACTACTACACTGAGCATCTCGTAGTATGCCTAAATAGTGAGTAAGTTAATTCTCTTCATGGATTATGAATTCTATTTATCCGCGTCACATAGATGACGCCACCTATATCTTTCTCCTATGTATATTTTGAGTGCATGATTTCTTTTATCCACTTTCTCAATGCCTCAGTCTCTCCAGATGCTGAGATGAACCGTGCATATTGACTAAGCCCCTTGAGCATGTCTTTTATTTTGAGTAGGAACTTCTTAGTCGCCATTTTGTGTATCAGTCCCCTTGTTCGAGAAGAATAATATTGAATCCTTAATCGAGAGTTTTCTCGGGTCCTAAGCTCGAGAAGTAATTATATAAGAATCTATACAAGGTAAAGTAAATTACGTGAACTTGATACCTCATATGTTATATAATAGGTGCATTCGTTAAAAAAATTATAGTTGATTTAAAATAATGACACATCAGAAGTAAGTACAACTAATATGGGATGAATGGCTAAAACCAAGCTAATTGTAGGGTCAATTAACTCACCTTTTCGAGAACTTTTACTTTATTTTGCTTGTTATAGTTGAAATATTGTCATTATATTTTATACTATAAGGTTCCCATCCAATTTTTGATGATATATGCGGCATGGATAATGCGATTTAATGAGCAATTCCATTTATATAATTATTGGAGTAATGTCATTGATTAATTATGCTATTTTTTGAAAATTTGATTAATTATACTCAATGTTATAATGCTTCTCATTGTGGTGATATGTTGTTAAAGATAAACTAATAAAATAATGAAATTTTTTTAATATCTTATATTAAATATTGTTCAAATCAAATCCGAAACCGCCTTTTAAATTCAATTTAAATTTTATTTGATTTCTATTTTAATATAATTAAAAACTTGATTAAATATTATTCAAGTCTAATTTAACTTTATTCAAATATGAATCTAAGCTATTAATATTTGAACTTTAATATGAATCAAATAAAATTTCAAATTAAAGTTTAAATATTAATTCCTTTGAGTCAAATTAGTTCAGGATGAACTCCAACATGCACTTCCCTTTTAAAAAATGGCATTTTTTTTTAAATGAATATTCGGAAATATAAAAAAAAAACAAAAAGTATTATGATAATATAAATTAAATTTCCCGATAAGTTCATATGAAACGATGGACGAATGAGGTGCTTTAAAAACTGGCGGGCTTCCTCTTCGCGCATTCCGCTCGACTTTCTTTTCCGGTCGTTCGAACTCCCAAACTCGATATGGTTTTCCTCAAGCGCACCATCCCCGCCAATCCAAAGAAGAGGCCTGCCACACCTTCCGAGAATATCCACTCTCCTGTCGCCGTCGCCTCTGTGGCAACCCTAGGTTCGGACCGCCACCGGAATGCCACCTTCTCCGCAGCCGCTGTCGCCGCCGCTACCACTGGCTCAGTTGGCGGCATAGTCGGGAACGCGAAAGGAAAGGGCGTCCGAGGAACAGAAGGAGATGACGAAGAGCAGGATGTGAGCGTGATGGTTTCCCTCTTAGCCGAAGCTGGTTGCACCCTCCGCGTATCGGGCGACACCCCTCCGTCGCTCCCCGCCGATTCTCACAAATTCCGTCGCCATATCGACACCCGCCTCTCCTCAGTCGAAGACCCCTCTATTGTCCCTCGCTTCCTATCTGGCTTCTCCTCCTACATCCAAAGCCCTCAAAACTTCCGCAGGTTTCAATACCTTCGCTGCCCAAGTTTATATACTCCTGATCCTTGGGTTTCATTGTTTTTTACTTTTTTTTTCTTTTGCGTATAGGGTTTTGATACCCGCGAACCATGATAGCGGCTCTTCTTGGGGGGAGAGCCTCGTTCGGGTGCTTTTACTGGTGGCTCCGATCCAGTCGCAGATGCTGAATCTGCTGCTCGAGAAACTGCCCGAGCATTTCAATGCCGATGCAGCATGTGTAGGTCGTTCATTGAAGGATGACATTGCGAGGTTAATCGTGAACCAACTACGATGGCTCGATTTCCTCGTGGATTCCGGGTCTTTTGTCGAAAAGCTTATGGAGGTTCTTTCTATTTCCCCTCCCGGGCTTAAGAAGGAGCTAATCGGTTCGCTTCCGGAGATTATTGGCGACAAATGCCATTCCACTGTCGTCAGCGCTCTTGAGAAGATGCTCCTCGAAGATTCAGACGTCATTGTTCCCGTGCTCGATTCTTTCACTGCTCTGAATTTAGATGAGCAGCTGCAGGAACAGGTTCAGACTTTGTTATTTATGATTTATTTTAAATATGTTTACTGCTGCTGTTCAATTGCTGTTAAATTTAAAATTAATATCTTAAATTTAAGGTCGTCACAATAGCTTTGTCCCGCATTAGAACTGTGAATGGGGAGCACATGCCTCATTTGCTTAGGTTTTTATTACTTTCTACAACACCTGCAAACGCTGGGAGGATAATATCACAAATTCGTGACCAGTTGAAATTTGTTGGAGTGATGGATCCTTACTCTGTCAGAAACAATAAGTTTAAAGGAAAATTTTCAGCTCAAAGCACTGAGGTTTCAATCCTTGATGCCTTGAGATCAAGTCTAAGGTTCAAAAATGTAATTAATTCAGTTCGTTTACTGTTTCCTTATCCCAGTTATTCTTTGTTTCTCTTTGCTGAAGATATCTACACTTGGTTAACTTCAGATTCTATGTGAGGCTGTTTTGAAAGTGCTAAAGTCTATAGACCAGCCACGCAACCATAAGGTCATAGATTTATGGTTTCTTATGCTCATATACAAAAACGGTGGGTCCTTACAGAAAGATACTCAGAAAATATTGAAGAAAAAGATTGTAGATGGTTGTTTTTGTGAAGCTCTATTTGATCAATGTATTGCTGGGAACCAGGAGTTGGTAAAGGTGGGATCTGCACTGATAAAAAACTTGCAATGAGATTACTGAAGTTTTTTCTTGCTGACATTACTGTGAATTTCAAGACCTGAGGTCCTGCCATCTTGTGTTTTCAGGACTACTTCCCATCATTTGTTTCTCTTTCTGAGTACCTACTTACTTGTAAAGAAAAGCAAGCGAGAAAATTTGGCATTCACCTATACACATTACTATTTGTGGAGTTCAAAGATACTTACTCTAGGCAAGAGGTAAATTGCGTGAAAATTGGATTTTTGCATGCCTAGTTAGCTTGAATGGCTTAACTCACGATTCCCAATGCCTTGTATTTCTGAGATCACGAAACAACATTGGTTTCTAATTTTGCATGATGAGTATTCCTTACCTTTCAACTCAATGGCAGAATTTTAGAAAGTTCATTGAATTGACCATCCTCCATTGCTACACATGGCAAGATATTAATATAATTAGTGCTACAGTGGTTCTTGATATCTCACAGGTGTTCTATGCTTATTCACCAGGAACAAGTGTTATTTGTACAAACCTCTTTTGTATATTTTTCAGGTTTTGGGTGCTTTAGTGACACATATTGGCTCTGGTATAGCTCATGAAGTTTGTTCAGCTCTGGAAACTTTGATTTTGTTGACTATGAGATACACGGAGGATTTGATCCCAATCTCCTCACATATATCCGGTATTTGGTCGTGGTAGTTCATATATAGTGTTCCACATGAACCATATGAAGATGTGACTTGTTATTGCTTTATTCCATTCCTTGGTTTTATTAGATCTCCCGGTGCAGGTATCTTGGATTACCTGGAGTGCTTTCAAGAAGATAACCTTCATAAGGTTCTTGTAGTCTAAGTACTTACCAATGCTAACATATAATATCTTCATTATTTATTTGTCTACTTTGGGGCAGGTTTATGAAGTCTTCTCTCGTTTGGCATTGGCTGCTAGATCTAGAGCTGAAACTATTAGATCTTCCATTGCAAATGAAGTGTTAATGATCATAAGAAAGCAGGTATGAGATAAAAGCTATTATTAGATAACTGGAAATGCACATGGAAAATGAGACCAGACTGACGTAAACTTTCTATCTTTTAGTCTGTCTGTAATTTTTGCTGGTCTCGTCTCTGAAATTTCCAGGTTAGCAATGCTGATATGATGTACAGGAAGATGGGGGTAATTGGAGCTCTAAAGGTCGTTTCCACCCTTGGAGATGTAAATGCCCCTTTGAGTTTCTTCTCTTCTCAGGTAGGTTTGAGCAGTTTGTCTTGCCATTATTTGACATGCGAGTCAGATGCTTGTATTACAGAATCAATAATTTTTGATGATATTTTGATTCCTTGATAAAACAGGTCCAGTATACTTTTTTCTTGATACTTAGTTGAAGACCTTATTTATCACAGGATGTAGTCCTACAGATCAGTCTATAAAAAATTGAATAATTTCCCTCGTCCATATAAATTTATCTAATTTTTTATGATTCGTGAAGCTGAACCTTATTGCATTATTTTGTGAAGGCAAGAGATATTCCATTATTTTAATTTGCCGTTAGATGTCATAATTGATGTACTTGTCATTGACATTAATATTGCAAGTTGTTGGTTACCTTCTTACAAATACGGGGAAAATGACAAGTAATAAAGGATTATGGAACCTTTCTTTGCCATGGAACATGGATTCAGTCTGATGCTATCACACCTAGGGTTAGAGGGGGTGTTGCATCCCGACAATATGGGACTTGATGAGGGATGTGAAAATATGTTTTTGTATTTGCAAAAGAAAGTTCATACACAAGGAATATAAACATAATATATCACAATAAGCAACAAAATATAAACTAAGATTTTATTTTATTACTATAAATTATAAGGAGATAACATCAATAAAGTAGAAATAATAACAAATAAAAAGACAAGAATTAGCTGCAGAAAAAAAACAAAACACTATCAAAATCCAAAAGGAAATACAAATATACTACTAAAAAAATTAAAATACCAAATGAGATTCTATTGCTGATAAGTTTGCTCATGAGATGATGGTCTACCAAATACTCCAGTAGAACTTGCTATGTGAATAGTCAATGAGTTTGAGAATTGAAATGGGAAAATTTAAATCCAACAAGTAACTATTACCTTTTAAAGTTATGAACAACAAGTCACTTGGGCATGTGACATGAACAAAAAAAAAAGACAGTAACAATGTACTATTAGTGAAATCAAGTTATCATATCCTTAGGTTATGATACAAAAACAGGTGCCAGTGACTATTTTGACATGATAATATTGCAAAGTATAAATGAACATGTCACATATCTGAAGTCATATTATAGTATATTGATGTTCATAATCAGTGTGTATGATAAATCTTAATAAATATAAATCTATTCTAACATATTTATATGCAACCATATTAGGTATCATCATACCTATTAAAATATGATTTCTATGTCATTTATCATCTTCAATTTATATTTGTTTACATACTTATGGTTGATTTTTATCAAGATACTTTGAATTGAGAAGGTAAGTACCAACTAAAAGAAATTCAATGATTTCACATAAAGTCATCACTTTGTCAGCTCGCCGACCCCACCATCAAATATACAAAAGGTTTTATCGACTCACACATAGGCATATTGGTTCTATGTTTATCATAAGCAAATTTTCAACCGGTATGATATATTCAATATGACTTTTTTTAACATAATATGATTTGTAGTAATATAATTTATTGCATTCTATAGATGTAGCTTGTATGAAACAAATAAATATTATATTATAGGAAATATATTTAACATAGATTAGTTTCTAAAACAACGAGTCAAGATAAATCTATCCATTCAACCAATTATTTCGTTATGAGCATAAAGATATTTATAAACATATGCATACTATATAATTGTAGGACAAAGGCATGACTAACAATCTAACCAAATATCTATGAACCTAATACAAATGCCTCTAGCAAAGAATGTTATGTATCCCATAATAAATAATATTTACTTACCTTGAGGCGAATGATATGAAAATCTAACTTAAATTGAAATCCAATTAACTTGTATCAGGTGAAAATCAAATTGAAGGCCCTCCATAAAAAAATTTTAAATTAACATCTATGACTATAGCATAAAACATTTGATAACATAAGACCTAGTTTAACTATATTAATTTTTAAATAACATATTAAAAGTCGTTAGGCGAACCTAATCAATGTAGCTTACTCCAAAATCAATCTTGTCTAGTTAACCGTACCATGGCATTAAATCATGAACTAATTTATAGAATTTTTCTACTATATTATCCTAAATACAAAGAAATTTCTTGCAAACCAAATAGAACTTGCCTTCATCTAATTTAACAAGAGTGATAAACATAAAAATAAATTAATTTAATGTAAGATACAAATAATAATTATCCTGTCATTGCTTTGAGCAAAATGATGAAGTGAGCCCATTTCAAAATTAGGGGAAGGAGGAAGAGAAGTAGAAAGTAATAGGGCTCATTATGTCACAAACCAACCCGATATGACCCCACAGACGGACATGTCATACTGTGTTGAATGGTGACTAATCATCCCAAGATCTAAGTTTTGGGAGTTTTTAAAAAAATTTCCTAATTAAAATGGGAGTTTTTAAAAAATTTTCCTAATTAAAAATTGAAATAGAACATACAACAGAGCTTTTAATTAGTTCCAATAAATAGAGAATAAACTCATCTACAGTTTTTTCTCTTTTCATTCATCTTCTATATATATATATATATGCACACACACACACACACATTACAGTACATGGCTATAGATTAAAACAAATAGCCACGACAATACAAAAATTCAAAATTTTAAAAAATGCCCATACAGATTCTGACAAATCAAATCCTAAAGACTCGGCTACTCAACGAGCTTTTTCCCCTTTTCCTGATTTGAAATAGAATGCAGAATAGGTGTGAGCCAATACAACTCAACATATTGTATTATAACATTATTTTTGGGAATCATAATTATTTTTTAGTTAAATGAAAGTATGAAACAACACACTTTTGAAACTGCCCAATGTAAATTTCCCAGAAAAATATTTAATTGTCTAGAACTGTTATCTCTACAATATTTAGAAAGTTATATGGTGAAAGTTTTGCGGGTACAAGGTTATCATCGTTTTTGCACAAATTTATTAATCAAATTAGAAAAATTCTATTTTTTTTTTGAAAACTAAGATAGAATGTATTCTATCTCGATTTGGACAATTTTCTGAACTAGTCTGACAACAAAAAACAGGCTTGGGGAGCCAAAAATCAGCCTTCTCTTTCTAAAATCTCTCCCTCTCTCTCTAACCGTTTTTTTTGGGGGGGGGGAGAGGGGGCGGTATAATATTTTTTATAAAATGAGATAAAATGGAAATTGAATTTTTTTTTATAAAAAATTAACCTAGCATTGCACTGCTCCACCGTCAAAGTTGTAGCACTCCCCACTTGAGATCCGAATTTCACAGCGCCAGACCCCAACGTCGCAGTGTTAGTTCATTTTCCAAAAATATGATAGAGAGCTCAACGCCACAACATTGCTAGCCTAGTACTGCAATGCTTTTAGGGGGAAAATTTCAGATTTTATATGCATGCTTATAACCTCCAAGGATTCACTTCAAAACATATTCAAACATTCTCATGCATACAAAATACTCACAGACACATGCATAAAACATGAGATTTCATTTTATTGGTCCTAACAGATTGGGTCTAAGCAGGTTCAACTGTGCACATATTCAGTAGGCATCACACATTGTTAAAATAGAAAGATAAGGATGAAGTCTTATTGACTTTGGCTTTTAGTCGAGGAAGAAGAATATGAAGAGGAGGAAGTCTCTTCTCAATTTTCGATAGAAATATGAAGTAGGATTGGTGGTTAATTTTTTGAAATGAGGAACAAGGCTTGATTTAGGAGGGTTAATAGCTGTGGAGGAGTGAAAGAAAGATAGTAAGTGATGCCCCAATATCTACTACTTAAATCGTGAGTGATGTTGATGCCGAGCGTTGGAGAGATCACACCATGATTGTAATTATTTGAAGTTCGTGGGATTTGCATGTCGACTTGGAATGAGATGAATTTGGCGAGTGCTATAGGGTCGGTTTGATTTTTTATAGATGCCTTGCATTTTTTGTTGTCTGGATGCCTTAATATTGAAGTCCATGTCATGATAAAAAAAAAGTTAATATGATCTACTATGATTTTAGTTCATGATCCGTTAAGGTTGAGAGCTAGATCTATTCGTGAAATCAAGTAAATTGTTGTTGTCTTAGGTGGATTAATGTGGTAGAAAACTGTTGCTAAGGATGTGGATTGAACTACCAAGCAAACAATGTATTTCCTGCCCTTCATAAACAAATGACTGTTTTTTACGGGTTGCAAAACGCGTTTCCTTGGCACCTTTCAGATAATCTCATTTCTGTCATAGACCAAAAAATTAGGTGGATCGCCCTTTCCAACAGCTTAAACATTCGTGAATTTCTTATTGTTGCTTAGAGCTAAACTTCTTATTTCATTAATATGCTTGTCAAGCAAGCATTGCCGAGTTTTAGACATTATTAAGTGTTGGGTGTATTGGATGAATGTCTGATTGTTGGCATTATTATTATTTTTTTCAATGTGCGTGGAATATGATGAATGAAAACTTCTCCAGTTTCTGCTCCTAGCGATGGTAAAATAATCTTATTATTTAACATACTTATTGGTATGCATCATGCAGAAATCAAACTCTGATGATGCGTTGGAGCTGCTGCAGATGTCTTTAGACTCATGCAAATTGGTGCCTTTGACCTTGATTCTTTTTTATGATGAACTAGTTGCTCTTTTAGAGGGCAGCGTTCTCAAGCCAGAAATAATTGAGTGGTGGGTGGTTTATATCTGAAACTAGTTGATTGGTGGATTTATTTGTATAAATGCAGGTTAAAAATCATCTGTTGTTTCAACTTTTGTTGATGCACTTAATTCCTTAATATCAATATTGCAAAGAGAAACATCTGGATGAATTGATTTTTTTTTCTATGTTCAATATATAAAAAAAAACCAGGATTGGAAAGCATGCTAGCGAATTTGAGCCAATGTTTTTATCTGATCTCGAGGGAGGTCAGTTGCCATTAAGTGTCCCTTGTGATGGCATTGAAGGTTTGTGAAGCTCTATAAATTTCTCCTCCTGATTTATTGAACTTAACAACATAGTTTGAATCACTGGTTAGTATTTTATATTTCAGGAGAACTGTGGATAAATTTGGATGGTGACGCCTCTCCTATAGTTTTGAAGATCCTACCATTGCTTTCTTCATCACTACAGCAGTAGTATTATAAACTTCAAACCTTTTAATTTAACTCTTCTTTAAATCCTGGTTTATTTGGTCAACAGATTATTTTCTTTAAATTTATATTTCTGATTTCAGGCAATCAGATTCTTTGCAGATTCTTCCTTCTCAATTTTTGTTATTATCTGTTGTAAGTAGCTGATATATTTTACTGCTAAGTAAGATCGAAGTTGTTCCAGCGAGTTCTTCTCCAACTGTTTCGCATTATTTCTTTTGAAGGTTGAAAGGTTGTCAAACCAGGGATCACTCGGTGGTATTGATGCACTTCTTGGTTGTCCCCTGCATCTTCCTTCTCCCAGGGTAATTTACATAATCTTTTTGTGGAAGTGATAAGGCTATTACGCAGCTATAGTTTTTAAAGGTTGAAATAGCATCAATAGCTCTTATTGTGGTAATTATTGAACTCCAAGCATTTTGATGCTGTACTGCATCACAAGATTAAATATTTTAGTGAATAGGATGGCACCTCTCTGTTTTATTCCACTCTTTGCTTGCCTGGAAAGTACGGCTTCCATATATTTGGAATTGCTTGAGGCTGTTAGTGCAATTTCTGATATACAATATAGTTCTTTCTAGGGGAACAAAGATAACATTTTCCGCTCATCTTGTTTTGCTCTTCACTGTTCTAGATTTTATGCCAGAATTGTATCAGAGTCAGAACTTGGAGCCATGTTAAAAGGAGAAAAGTGATCAGCTATCAACGACTATTATAGTCCGAAAGCTCCATAGGCTTAATGTTTCTCAAAATCAATTTGGATTCATGCCGGGTAGGTCTACTATGGAAGCTATACATGTTTTGAAAGGTTTGATGGAAAAGTATAGAGAGGAGGATCTACATATGATATTTATTAATTTAGAGAAAGCATATGATAAAGTTTGAAGAGAAGTGCAATGGAGAGTTCCAGAAAAGAAAGGGATTAATAATGCTTATATTCAAGTCATTAAGGATATGTACGAAGGAGCTGTTACTTGTGTTTAAACGCAAGGTGGTTTGACCAAGTATTTTCCTATTTCAATTGGATTACATGAAGGATCAGCCTTAAGCCCATATCTTTTTGCTTTAGTCAATGGATGTTCTCACTAGATATTTGCAAGAGGTTGTACCATGGTGTATGCTTTTTGTTGATAAGACTAAAGAGGGAGTTGAATGTAAGCTTGAATTAAAGATGTCAACCTTTGAGTCTAATGTTTTTCATTTGAGTAGATCTAAAACCGAATATATGGGTGTAATTTTAGTAGTACTGGATCTAATGGGGGGATTGTGACTTTGAGCGATCAAGTTAGTAATAAGAGTACACATTTTAGATATCTTGGGTCTATTATTCAGAGTGATGGTGAAATAGATATGGATATTATTAGTAGAATTCAAATTGGATGGTTGAAGTGGAGGAATGCTTTGGCCCTATTGTGCGATATAAAAGTACCCCCACAAACTTAAGGGAAAGTTTTATAAGATGGTGGTGAGACGTGCAATGCTTAATATATGTTCATTTCATATATTACCTAGAATGTTGGCCATTAAAAGAGAAGCATAAAATTAAGTTAAGTGTTGTAGAGATGAGGATGCTCAGGTGGATGAGTGACTTTACTCTTAGAGAATATATGAAATGAACATATACGTGAAAAGGTTGGAGTAGCTCTTGTGGAAGAGAAGATTAGAGAAAGTCACATTAAAAAAGAAGATTAATTTTAAAAACGTAGAAAAATTAATTCAAGTACATCTTTTGAAGAAAAAAAAAATTATTTGATGAGATTTTAATGAATATGTTGGTAGAGTGATAGAAGATTTTTAAAATATTCATGTTGACTATGAGTTTGGAGCGACTAATGAAGGTGATATGATCATATTAGATTTTACTTTAGCTTATGATTTTATAATTGTTAATATCTTATTTAAGAAAAAGAACAACACTCATTACTTATAAGAATGAATATAATAAACCTCAGATTGATTATTTTCTTATAAAAAATAGATGGTTTAGATTACAAAGATCTTAAAGTTATTTTGAGTGAAAATTTATGTTCTCAATATCGCTTATTAGTTTTAGACTTTAATATGAAAGGATATTAAATGAATAATAAAGTAAAATATTATCCTAAGATTAGATGTGAGTATTTAAAAAATATTAATAAAAATAATTTTGAGAGTATGATTTAAGATCTTAAGATTTTGATTGTGTATGAAGAGCTAATGTTATGTGTGAAAAAGCAACTAGTAGTATTAAAAATATTGCAAAGGATGTGGTTAGAATATTAAAATAAAAAATTTCTAAAAGTAAAAATAGTTGGTGGTGGAATAAAAAAGTGTGAACATAGATAAAAATAAGAAGCTATATTATAAAAATTAGTTTAAATGTAAAAATTTGAAAAATTGAGAAATATATAAAGTGGCACGTAAGGAGTTTAAGTAATATGCAATGCAAAGAATTATCTTTTAATGTTTTATATAGTATATTATATATTAAGGAGTGTGAAAAATGTATGTATAAATTAGTCAAACAAAGAGTAATGAGAAGTAGTATTTAGTTAAACTGAATTGCATTAAGGAAGAAGATAAAAAAGTGCTTTTATTGGATGAAGATATTCAACATAGATGGTTGAAATATTTCAATAAGATTTTCAATGAAGATTGTGAGGATACGGTTGACTTTAATGATCTTAGCACCCTAAATGAAAATAATATTTTTATTTTTATCATCTTATTAGTAAGACCTAAGTTAGAAAAAACTTTAAAATATGAGGCATGAAAAAGCTGTTGGATCTGATGATGTTCCAATAGAGATGTGAAAATGCTTAAGAGTTGAAGAATTTTTTTGGTTTTTTAAACTTTTCAATATTATTTTGAAGACTAAAAAGATGCCTGATGAGTGTAGGAGTGTGTTAATTTCTATTTTTAAGAATAAATGTGATGCACAAGAATGAACGAATTATAAAAGACTTAAGTTAATTTGTCATGCTTCAAAATTGTGGGAGAGTTATTGAGAATAAGTTATGACGTGATACTAATGTTTCTTAAAATCAATTTGGATTCATGCTGGGTAGGTCTACTATGTAAGTTTTACATTTATTGAGAGGTTTGATGGAGAAGTATAGAGAGAATAAGGAGGATCTACATGTGATATTTATTGATTTAGAGAAAGCATATGATAAAGTTCCAAGAAAAGTGCTATGGAGAGTTCTAGAAAAGAAATGAGTCATATTCAAGTCATTAAGGATATGCATGGAGTAGCTATTACTTGTGTTCAAACACAAGGTGGTTTGATCAAGTATTTTCCTATTTCAGTTGGATTACATGAAGGATCAGCCTTAAGAGGTCATATCGTTTTGCTTTAGTCACGGATGTTCTCACTAGATTTTTGCAAGAGCTTGTATCCTGATGTATGCTTTTTGTTGATGGTATTCTTGTTGTTGTTAAAACTAAAGAGGCAGTTGATAAGACTAGAGAAGGAGTTGAAGGTAAGCTTGAATTATAGATGTCAATCTTAGAGTCTAAAGGTTTTCATTTGAGTAGATCAAAAACAAAATACATGAGGTGTAATTTTAGTAGTGATAGATCTAGTTGTGGGATTGTGATTTTGAGCGATTAAGTCATTAATAAGAGTGCAAGTTTTAGATATCTTGGATCTATTGTTCAGAGTGATGGTGAAATAGATGTGGATATTATTAGTAGAAGTTGGATGATTGAATTGGAAGAATGCATCAGCCCCATTGTGCGATAGAAAAGTAGAATATATTGAAAATGACATTCTTTTACTAAATTTTAATGAGAATTTGACTAGTAACAAGACACAATTGAGAAAAAAGGATTCATGTAGCTGATCCCACGTAGTGAGACAAAAGCTTGATGTTGTTGTTGTACTTCCATTGAATTGCCTTCCCAGTTGCCACCAATATGTTGTTACAATACCAAATTGATCTAATACTGTGAGCATCATTGCCAAACCTTCCTTCCTACAAAATCAGTGTTAAATTGGGTTGTATCCCTTCAAAAAAGTTTTATGTATGTGGAAAATATATTGGTGGAGTTAATTCAGTGGTGGATTGGAAGTTAGGATTGTAACAATGGTCAACCGTAACAATGGTCAACCTAAGATTTGGGTCTAAAATTCAGACAACACAAGGCTGAATTCGATCGATTAGATCTCCCAAAATATTGATCCAAAACCTCTCAAATCACTTGTCAAAGTTAGAGAAGATGGTCTAGTTGTGTTATAGATGTTCTTATAATTTTGGGAAGAGTCTAGATATTTTTTTGGGATTTTATAGGTGGCTAGGTCCAGAAAAATTCTAGTATGGCCTATTTGACTAATTAGGGTTCAGGCTTTTAATGACATGGTTTAAACTCATAAAAAATTAGGAATCTGATAAGAATGATTGAGGGATGCCTTGATATGTTTTTTGGAGTTTGCCAAAATTTTTGAAGTATTTTAGGTCACCAAGTCCCATTTGAAATAATACTAGGTCAGATTTCTGTCAAGGTTTGACCTACCAATATAAGTGGGTGAGTGGGTCCAAGCGAAAATATTTTTAAAACAAAGTAGGGATTAAGCGAAACAAAATCACAACAAAAGATTTCAACCAACTATAAATAAAACCAGCTAGCTCACTAGAGATAATTGGGTGAGATAGACTACCAAAACCTTCTTCTATTGCCAACCACCTAGCCAAGCCACCACTTGAAATTCACTCCAACTTTAGTTATAAAAAAGTCTCAACACTTCATTCCATATCAAATGATGTTTAAATACTAGTTGTAACAAGAGAAATTGAGTTTGAAAAGAAGAAGGAAATGGGAAGGTGGTTCCTATAATGCCCTAGGACCATAGGGAGGAATTTAAACTACCTTATCCAATTTCATTTCTCGCTATCAAGCCATCTAATCATCCAAAAATAAAATAAAATAAAGATGCATCAAGAATTTATAGACTCTTCTTCAGATTTTCATTTGTCCAAAGATCGAAAATAATAGTTCAGAATACAATGATTTCAACAAAATATCTAAATAAATTATGAACCAACAAAACGATGTATGTACCTTACAGACTCAAAACTTTTGCTCTCTAGCAAAATCATCCTACTCAACAAGGTTCTTCCTTTTTCCTAAAATATTTTAAACAACAATGTGAGTACAGAACTCAATAAACCAATCTATCTCCATAATAGAATTCAATTCAAAACTTATAATTAAAATAAGCAAGAACACAAAAGGTTTACGTTACTTTACAGACTCAAAACTTGTGCTTCTTATGATCAAATATCAGTATCAACAACCACTTAAACTCGTGTATAACACTGCTAAAAGTGAAGAAGCAAGCCAAAAAGTCCTTCCACAACCACAATCAGAAAAGTAATGCTTTTAGGATGTGTAGAAGAGCTTCTTGGGTTAACAGATGATCGAGAATATGAACTGAATTTGCTGTCCTTCAATTTAAGGATGTTGTTCCACAGCTGTTGCCTTCTCCTGAGACATTTCCTGAAACTATTGTTGCAGGTGAACCTGTGTTAGAGTCAGCACAATTTTCAGTGTTTGTTGTTGCACCTAAAACTCCTGTAATGAAGATCCATGATAATCAAAATGTGGATATATTATTTTTCTTTCCTTAAAAGCTATTTGAAATTGAGTTCAGAGGCTTCCCACCACACAGCCATTCTACAAAGTGTTTCTTTCATAAAATCTCATAGAGACAACATGTTGCAACTAGGGCATCTCCTTATACACCGCTTCCGACAATTGCATTTGTGTTTGTGCATTTATTCATTGCTTTTGAGGACGAATTCAATGATTTACATCATCTAGGACTTAGGCTGCCTCCTCAAAGTCTCTGAAGGGGAGTTCTTTGAACTCCTGAACATTTCATACATAATATGATGCTTTTGTAGGATTATTTAAAATTATTTTGATGTTATATTTTATTTTATAATGATTAGAATATTTTTTTTTTCTATACAGGGTTATATTTCTTATGGCCATGCTTTATTTATTAGGTTTTATTCATAGTTATTCTTTATTAGTTTGTTGGACAACTATTATAATTAGTAGCGCTTTTAGGATGTTGAATGATGAACTTAATTTAAATGTATCACAATTTTATATTCTATCTTTCATTAATTTTGATTCTTTTATGTCTTTCCTCTTACTTTTGATTTTCTACTTAATTTCAAAAGCGTTGTCTCGGAACTTATCTGGGCTTTCCATGTAAGCTCTAGATTTTTGCGCAAGTTGATGGTTCCGGTTTTTTTCTACCCCACTATAGTCTTATTTTCTAATAAAAAATTCATGAATTTGAACAGCCATAAGAATCTCTATCAGAGCAATCATCCATCATCCCCTATTCATTTGATATCGGAGCAAGTGTCTACATCACTTTGAATCTTGCGCAAGCTGTTGAGTGATTTACCCTTACTATGAAGCAGACTTTTAAAAGTATAGCTCAATAAATGAACAATAAATGGTTCTTTCGATATATGCATGAACAACCTAAATAGAAATACTTCCAACTGGCTTCTTATTTTCCTTTGCCCGTGGAACTTGTTAGCAGTTTTTGAATATTCTTTTTTGCCACTTGATTAGACAGGTAGTTAGAATTGCCAAAAAATTTGCAATTCCATCATTTTAAACAAAATTTTTCTTGAATGTTAATTACATTGAACACATTTATGTCAACCTAACTGTGCCATATCCTTAATTTTGGAGACAATTCAGAAAACTAATTCAATTTTGGTTCGATGGAAATCTTCATCTCATCAATCCTGTTTGCAATCGCTTTATTGTGGAGTAGTTCTCTTGTCATTCTAATCTCATATTTCTTGTTTTTTATTATCTAGATCAGATTTGTTAATGTGGTAAGGACTGACGAAACTTCCAAGTTTTTTACCTACCAATTTTCAGCTCATATTCATTTTCTTTGAGTGCAAGAAAATTGTTGTTATTTTTAAAGAATGCGTGTTTCATCATGTATTTATGGTCTAATATGTTTATATTAGTGTTTCTGTGAACTGATGGCTATTAGATGTGATTCTTGCAAGTCCAGTTATGTTTCGTGCCCTTACATAGTTATTTTATGCACGATAGTATCTTTCTGGAGTTCATTGGAAGAAGCTGACAGAAAAGCAGAAACATATCGTTTGCTTTTCTCTGTTTTATGCAGTCAACTGGATTAGGGAGCTGGTATGCTTTATAGTTTATACCTTTGTGTGCTCTCTCTGCACCATTCATATATTCATACCTGACAGTTCTATTCTACTTGCAGCTGAATGCATTTAGCTCACAAGTTGTTGACAAAATAGAAAATGTGACTCCGAATACCAAAGAAGAGACAGTTAAAAAATTATTGAAGCGTCTAAGAAATCTGGTGTGAGTGTCAGTAATATTTGAACTCAAGTTGGCTGCAATTTTGTAGTTATTACTTATTTAAGAGTTGCAACTGGTTTTGTTTTTTTCTTGAACTTCACCCGTTCCTTTTTAAACTTCGTTTGGCTTTGCTATTTTGTGCTTTGCTTTGTTGTATAGAAATTTCATGTGCAGTTCTTCAGTAAAGATGATTATCATTATTCCTATTTATAGATATATACAAGATATCTTAATAAAGAAATAAATAACTATAGAATCATGCATAATTGCCCTAATATATTCCTTCATAAATCTTCCAACCTAATATGAAAAATCTGTGTGATTCAGCTGAGCCTCCCACGGATCCTCAAACTTGTTGTAAAGGAAGAATTGGGGGGATAAAAAGAATAAGCTATTGGAGAAGAGATGAATGAATATATCAAAGGAGGGTGTTAAGGGGGCAAAGAGGAAGATAATCTGTCAACTAGAAGCAAGAGATGAATCATTTACTAGAGGCGATGCCAATAGAGAAGTCATTTCTTATTCCATGGTTTGCATCTTAATTACAATGTGAGGTCGCCAATCTTAATTAATGAGAATTGAAGGAAGACTAATTCAGCTTTATGTCACCACAACCTTTCCTTTTTCTAATGCTCTTCTTTAGCAATATCCTAGATTGGATTAAAAAGTGATTTTACAGATTTGGGTTTAAAAGAAGGATGATAGCCACTAAATTTATCCTGACAATTTAGATAGTATTTGCAAAAGCAACGCCTCTGGTGGTTGAGTGTTCTCGACCTAAAAGATGAGATCACTTTACTTTGGTAGGAAAATTGAAATGGAGACTAAATAGAAGGGAACATCCCATAGATGAAAGTAATAAAGCTGTTCTCTAACCTCAATAAATGATTGCACATTTGAAGAGATGCTTATTATAGCTGGAATGGTGTACTGAGTGAATGTCTTCAAGTCATTTCAAGTTTCAATTATTCTCAAAAACTAGAAGGTCATGACCTGCGAATTGCATTAGAATGGAGATACTTATTAGAAGAAATGCTTCTAATTTCTGGAATGGTGTAAAAATGTCTCGAAGATTAGAAGGACCTCGTCGTCCATTAAGGAGCGTAAAAAAAGGAAGTACTATATTTCGGGTAGGACTTTGGATAGGAGAGGTGCTCTTTGCAATAATTTTCTTGCCCTTTTTTGGCTTGCCGAAGACTCTACACAGTGTTGTGGAGAATTAAGTTTTTTAACTGCCGTGTACACTCTGGTCTTCCTGAATGACAAATGCTGAAGTGAAGCTTCAAGTCCTCAGGGAAGTTTTTAGTGATCTCCATTTGTAAGTTGCTAAACGATATTGGGCTTGTCTTGCCATTTGTCAAATCAAGTTTGGAGGAATACTGCCCCAACCAAAGTCAAATCATGAATTGTTAGGCACTGTAAAATAGAAAATTTACCAAAGACAAGCTGCCCAAGAGGGGTCCATTGGCATTTTTTAAGAATTAGGGCAGTTAAACATTATGGAAGAAACTATCTCTAGCTTTCCTCCAGTGTGTAGATTCCCCATCAGATTGCATAAACTTTGCATTCAGTAAAATATTATGCAACTTTCAACTTTGCAGGGCCTTGTAGCTTCCTCTTTAAGGTGGTCATTTTTTAGTAGACTGGAGTTTTTTGTGGACTCGCATATTGCTTAATTCAGTGTTACTTTTACCATAAACTTCATCTTTGATTTCTGTTTGGAGAGATGCAACAAATTTTTTTTTGACATTCTGGTCCTGTAATTTAGTCAGTGGGTTCATATTTTGGCTTGGTCTTTATTGATTTCTAATTTTACCTTTCTGCATCTCGAACATTTTATCAGAGTGACAGTTGTCATCATTTAGATCTAGATCTGTAGCACCATCACCATATCTTCCATGAAAGCATTCTGTTTGCTTTTTAATTAATACGTTCACGCTGCTGTATTCTAGTTTTGACGGATCACTTTTCTTTGGCAATGGAAAAGAATTATCAATTTCGTCTAAAATGCATGGGATAAATTAAGCACCAAGTTGTTCAAGCGATGGGTTTTTTTCCTGCTTTTCTTAATCTTTTGGGGTGGAAATTGCAAACATGAATGTTAGGTGCAATTGCCAGAAAATTCTTGAATTCTTGTCCTATTGAATTATTGATAGGAAACACTTGGATTTCCAAGTGTTTCTTCCCAAGATCAAGTAGATCCAAGGAAAAACTGCTGTCCACAGCAGAAAAACAGCCCAAATACAAGAAAAATCTGAGATGAAAGCGTAGGAAAACGATGCAAACACTTTTATTTCGATAACGGATGAAAAGCACTTGCAAGATACAACTTTCCTTCAATTCGAGAGGAAGGAAAAACTCTCCAAAAGATCTCCGGCGAAGCCAAGAGCCCAAGACACCAAAACCTAGATCACAAAACAATTCAAATTCAAGATAATCCAAATCCCTCCCAAAAACACCTAATTAAAGACAAAGGAATATTACAAATGACCTAAACACCCCTTAGTTCAAAATATTTCCCTCCTAATCTTGCATTTAGCCCATAATGGGCTCCACCAAGTTTCCGCCCAGCGCCTGGCTCCCGCTGGGTCTATTCCGTCGCCTGGAATAGACCCGGACCGGTCCCTCCTGGACCGGTCCAGCCGGCCCCTCCTGGGCCGGCGTAACATACTCATGTTAGTTAATGCATGCTT